AAGTGTCTGACTTTTTTTGCGTTTGATTTGTGTTCTGTCTCATTTTAAAATGATTAAGCTTGAAAAAAAATATTGTTTTCGGATTGGTACTGGGAAATAATACAAGGAAAGCGACGTTAGAGTTTGGGTTGAACAAGAAACGTATACTACTAGATTTCTATTTAAGATCAGCAGTCAAAATAGAAAAGAAAAACTTCAAAAATTCTGGCCGGAAGACAAAAATCAACTAGAGGAACATTTTTTATGATTAAATGAGGTAATTTTTTTGGCGTTAATCGAAAAAATTAATCAGCGGATTACCTGGTTTCAGCCTAAGCTTACCAGCCCAGTTAAAGACTCGCTGGATATGCCAATAGATATATCTACTTAGCCGGTTGGCTGGTTAGCTGGTTATCAATGGTCAGCTGGTTAGCCGGTTGGCTGGTTAGCTAGATTTGGCTACTTAGCCGGTTGGCTGGTTAGCTGGTTAGCCGGTTGGCTGGTTAGCGGCTAAATATAGCTACTTAGCTGGTTGACTGGTTAGCTGGTTAGCTGGTCAACTAGCTTGTTAGCCGGTTGGCTGGTTCGCTAGATATAGCTACTTAGCCGGTTGGCTGGTTAGCTGGTTAGCCGGTTGGCTGGTTCGCTAGATTTGGCTACTTAGCCGGTTGGCTGGTTAGCTGGTTAGCCGGTTGGCTGGTTAGCGGCTAGATAAAGCTACTTAGCCGGTTGACTGGTTAGCTGGTTAGCTGGTTAGCTGGTCAATTGATTAGCTGGTTAGCCGGATGGCTGGTTTGCTAGATATAGCTACTTAGCAGGTTGGCTGATTAGCTGGTTAGCTGGTCAACTGGTTAGCTGGTTAGCCGGTTGGCTAGTTCGCTAGATATAGCTACTTAGCCGGTTGGCTGGTTAGCTGGTTAGCTGATCAACGGGTTAGCTGGTTAGCCGGTTGGCTGGTTCGCTAGATATAGCTACTTAGCCAGTTGGCTGGTTAGCTGGTTAGCTGGTCAACTGGTTAGCTGGTTAGCCGGTTGGCTGGTTCGCTAGATATAGCTACTTAGCCGATTGGCTGGCTAGCTGGTTAGCTGGTCAACTGGTTAGCTGGTTAGCCGGTTGGCTGGTTAGCTGGTTAGCTGTTCAACTGGTTAGCTGGTTAGCCGGTTGGCCGTGGTCCGCTGAGATATAGCTACTTGGCCGGTGGGCTGGTTAGCTAGTAAGCTGGTCAACTGGTTAGCTGGTTAGCAGGTTGGCTAGTTCGCTCGATAAAGCTACTTAGCCAGAAGGCTGAATAGCTGGATAGCTGGTCAACTGGTTAGCTGGTTAGCCGGTTGGCTGTTTCGCTATATATAGCTTCTTGGCCGGTTGGCTGGTTAGCTGGTTAGTTGATCAACGGGTTAGCTGGTTAGCCGGTTGGCTGGTTCGCTAGATAAAGCACTTAGCCAGTTGGCTGGTTAGCTGGTTAGCTGGTCAACTGGTTAGCTGGTTAGCCGGTTGGCTGGTTCGCTAGATATAGCTACTTAGCCGGTTGGCTGGCTAGCTGGTTAGCTGGTCAACTGGTGAGCTGGTTAGCCGGTTGGCTGGTTCGCTAGATAGAGCTATTTAGCCGGTTGGCTGGTTAGCTGGTTAGCTGTTCAACTGGTTAGCTGGTTAGCCGGTTGGCCGTGGTCCGCTAGATATAGCTACTAGGCCGGTGGGCTGGTTAGCTGGTAAGCTGGTCAACTGGTTAGCTGGTTAGCAGGTTGGCTAGTTCGCTCGATAAAGCTACTTAGCCAGGTGGCTGAATAGCTGGTTAGCTGGTCAACTGGTTAGCTGGTTAGCCGGTTGGCTGGTTCGCTAGATATAGCTTCTTGGCCGGTAGGCTAGCTGGTTAGCTGGTCAACTGGTTAGCTGGTTAGCCGGTTCGCTGGTTCGCTAGATATAGAGCTACTTAGCCGGTTGGCTGGTTAGCTGGTTAGCTGTTCAACTGGTTAGCTGGTTATAGCTAGTTGGCTGGTCCTCTAGGTAAAGCTACTTGGCCGGTGGGCTGGTAAGCTGGTTAGCTGGTCAACTGGTTAGCTGGTTAGCAGGTTGGCTAGTTCGCTCGATAAAGCTTCTTAGCCGGGTGGGTGATTAGCTGGTTAGCTGGTCAACTGGTTAGCTATTTAGCCGGTTGGCTGGTTCGCTAGAAATAGCTACTTGGCAGGTGGGCTGGTTAGCTTGTTAGCTGGTCAACTGGTTAGCTGGTTAGCAGGTTGGCTAGTTCGCTCGATGGGTGGCTGGTTAGCTGGTTAGCTGGTCAACTGGTTAGCTTAGCCGGTTCGCTGGTTCGCTAGATAAAGCTACCGTGGCAGGTTGGCTGGTTAGCTGGTTAGCAACTGGTTAGCTGATAGCCGGTTGGCTGGTTAGCTAGATATTGCTTAGTAGCCAGTTGGCTGGTAAGCTGGTTAGCTGGTCAACTGGTTAGCTGGTTAGCAGGTTGGCTGGTTCGCTAGATATAGCTACTTAGCCGGGAGGCTGATTAGCTGGTTAGCTGGTCAACTGGTTAGCTGGTTAGCCGGTTGGCTGGTCCGCTAGATAAAGCTTCTTGGCCGTTGGGCTGGTTAGCTGGTCAACTGGTTAGCTGGTCAGCAGGTTATAATAGCTAGTTCGCTCGATAAAGCTACTTAGCCGGGTGGCTGATTAGCTGGTTAGCTGGTAAACTGGTTAGCTGGTTAGCAGTTCAACTGGTTAGCTGGTTAGCCGGTTGGCTGGTCCGCTAGATAAAGCTACTTGGCCGGTGGGCTGGTTAGCTGGTTAGCTGGTCAACTGGTTAGCTGGTTAGCAGGTTGGCTAGTTCGCTCGATAAAGCTACTTAGCTGGGTGGCTGATTAGCTGGTTAGCTGGTAAACTGGTTAGCTGGTTAGCCGGTTCGCTGGTTCGCTAGATAAAGCTACCGTTGCAGGTTGGCTGGTTAGATGGTTAGCTGGTCAACTGGTTAGCTGATTAGCCGATTGGCTGGTTAGCTAGATAAAGCTACGTAGCCGGTTGGCTGGTAAGCTGGTTAGCTAGATTTGGCTACTTAGCAATTTGGCTGGTAAGCTGATAAGCTTGTAAGCCGCTTGTTTGAGTCAGCACGCTGGTTAGCCGGTTGGCTGGTAAGCTGGTTAGCTGATCAACTGTTAGCTGGTTAGCCGGTTAATTGGCTGGTCAGCTCATATAAGCTGATTAGCCGGTTGGCAGGGTTAGCTGTTTAGCTGTTCAGCTGGTTAGCTGGTTAGCCGGCTGGCTGGTTAGCTATAGCTGGTTAGCTGAGTAAGCAAGTAAGCTGCCCTGTCGTTAACTAGTTCGCTAAAGTTTCAAAATCTATCACTTTTGAAAGAGACATCGTACGAAAAAAACAGTAGTGTTCAGCTTTGGAATAATAATTTTACGTATTTAGATTTATTTGAGGCCCGACAATAATTCAGACGAATCGTGCGTTCGAGAGGCACAAATAACCGTATAAAAACAATAAAACTTCCGTAAGAGGGTTGCAGAACCCCAATATAGGAAACAAGTAGTTATTCTGTTGAAAATAAAACATATACTTTGAAAATTCGTTCGGAGAAAAAAAACAGGGGAAAAGTTGATCTGTTAACTTCGTGCCGAGTATCAAAAGTCGGTTTTCAAGTCTCAAGTTATCTTAAAGCTCACACAGCATACTGGTTAAGTTGAGTTTTGTGGAGATCGATTTCGTTGATTTCTTTGTAATAGATTTTCTATGTTAATCTTTCTTAATCTAATTTTGGATTTTGGATTTTCTAAGTAAATCAATCGCTTACAGAATAAGTTTACTTGTCCAGGTCAGAGTGGTCTGGAGGAACGTCAAGTATTATTATTTCTCCAGTGAATTAACATTATTGCAATGTTGACTTATCTTAACATCCCCCCCCCCCAAAAAAAAAATAAGTTATGGTTTGATGTTTAACTCAAAATTATGCCCTCAAAATGAAACGGAATATTTTACGTTTGACTTTTTGAATTGTTCCAAAAAACTTAAACTTCTTTTTCAATTTAAATTATTTAGATGTTTCCTCTAGTTTAGTACTCTCTCTAGAAAGAAGGTGGTCGTGGGTTCGAGTCCCACCCTAGTGACTTTTTCCAACTTTCACTTGGGAGGTAACACACTGAGCATACAGTGTTTATACGTCCCAGTCGGTGAAGGGCAAAAACCACCCCAAAGCAAATTCTATCTTGCGAATACTTTCTTGTTTGTTGTTATTTACTTTTTTTGGTTGTTGTTGTTGTTGTTGCGATTTTTAATTTATTTTTTGTCTGTGTTGTTTTTCTTTCGTTTGTTTGATTGTTTGATATTTTTTGGTTTGTTTGCTGGTTTGGGAATTCATTTTTTTTTTTGTCAAAGCGCGAATAAAATTCCATAGGACTAGTTATACGGACCTGCACATCCCAGCATTTCCCACTAACATCCCATCCTGCCTGGATTAGAGTTGTTATTCGGTTATTCAATCCAGACTTTGCTAAATTTTGGGTTAAAAATGCATGATATGAACATTAACTGCAATGCATTGACAGACCGGTGAGATCGAGCGGTCCCTGTGGTTCAGTTGCAACGCGAAGGGCAATGGTACGGTTCGCGAATGGTTGGGACAGCACGCAGCATTATGCCAACTTAATTAACTAGGCACATTTTAAAATCAGTTTCGTTCGGGCTTTCTGCAGACTTTATCGAATCGCACTGGGCATTTGTTTTTAAACAAGTCGGCAGTTCCGGGTCTTTTCATATGCGTCTCCACTTGAAGAACATTGATATGTGCCTTTCCATGCTTTTGTTTAAGATACTTTCATGTGTTTTTTTTTCCAAACAAGTCAAGCAGCCACATTTTCAACAACTCGTCCAGTTCTCTTCAATCGCTTCAAACTATGGATGAGCTCATTACAATAGGCAAAGTGTTTTTGTAATATAGATTGTATTGTTGTTCGAGACAATGTGATTACATTAATGTAATCAAGTGTTTCTTCCCCCCCCCCCCGTCCCCCACCCTCAATTTTTTTTCTTTGTCGGATTTTTGTTTTGATTTTTTAATTTTGATTTTTGTTTTTGTTTTTACTTTTGGCTTCTTTACATGAGCCACTGGAGTTCAGGCTCGCAGGCATCGAAGAAGTCATCAACCTCGTTCTCACTGTCCTGGGCAGTCTCAATCTCATAATCCATATCGTACTCGTTCTCTTCTTCTTCGGCCAGGCGGCGAGCCAGAGCCCTGCGGATGTTTTCTCGGTGCTTCGCGTTCAGAAGCACCCTGAAGTTTGAAAGGAAAAGAAAATGACGAAGTGTTAAAAAAAATGTTGTCTTGTGGGGATTAAACCTTTGTATTTCCAAGCCTTATGCATATGTAGAAGCATTTTACCTGTGGTTTAACAATTAGATTAATTCCTCTCTGACGTATTATAGCATTAGATTTATGTTTTTGCTGAATGCTGATTAACTGTATATAGAAAGGTTTCATGGCCAGGCTCGGTTCTCGGGTGGAAATTCAACCGCTAACTGTGAATTGAACAATTTGTTGGAGATGTTTGGATACATTTAATTGAGATGACAGTCAGGTCATACTGCCTGAAACCCCGATAATACCTCTGGTTCTTCACAGGACTACGTCTCTTTAAAATATTCAAGTTTAAAATTGTTTTCCCACGTTCTTCTTTTAAGTCCAACCAATGGCCCCTCCTTTTCTTACATTGTGCCAGGCATAATAGACCCCTTGCACGGTGCGCCCTCACAGAGGACTGCAGTTTTTGTCATTTCAAATTCAGTGACAATGACATTAAACAATGCGTTTAGTCAGAGGAACAAATATCTGTCTCAGATATGACTTGAAATGTAAGGGACCAAGGGCGGATCCAGAACACAATTTTGGTGGGGGCCAAAAAAATTTGGGGTCACCTTTGTGAGGGACTGCTCAATGTAGGCGTAAAACCAATAGGGCTTACCTTTGAGTACGGAAACGCTCGCGACGTTCGTTGTTTGCTTTGGCCGTCTCCTGTTTCTTGGTTGCCGCCTCGGCAGCTTTCTCCTGGGAATCTTTGGCTGTTTTCTCGGCAACCTGAGCGACACAGAGAAACAGACGAGGGAAGGTTTGAATTTATACATGACATCCGTGATGTCGCCAAACTGATCGTTGTTGTTTGTCATCATGGCCGGAGTCATCATGTGGGCAGGTACGGTACTCAGTCATCATTCAGAATTGTAATGACTCGATTTTTGGCGACTTGACTCGACTCGACGCGAGTCACAAAATTCAGTGACTCGTTACAACTCTGTCATCATGCATCTTCATAATTCTCTAATTCTGAGGCGTAATTTGATGACGGCTAAGAAGTCCATACTTTATATTGAGTATTGAATTATTGTTGTCAGTCACATTTGCCATATGGACCTTCATCTATTAGTTTCGATTTGAAGTTTCTTTTAATTATAATTTTGTTAGCCAATGACAAGTCCAGCTTATTACGACTACCACCAGATTTTTGTGTTAGGCCTATACATGTATCTTGTTTATTTTGTTTAGTCATCTGTAGTCATTGTTAATGCATACAAATTATGCTTTTTGTATGACATCCACAAAATCCCTCCCTCATCTCACCTCTTTGGCGTGTTCAGCCAGGCGAGACTTGGCCCTGATGCGATCCATTCTCTCAGCCTCCTTCTGCTGCAATTGATTCTCAAACCTTTCCTGTTTCTTGGCGAGCATTTCGGCGGCTTCGAACCGGACCAATTCATCGGCTTCCTTGGCAAACTCTCGGGCGTGTTCCCCGGCCCGTGATTTGGCCCGCACTCGCTCAGTGCGAGCCTCGTTCAGTCGACCCACTCGTTCCTGGAAGGCGACCTGCTTCACGGCGATTTTGACGGCGGTCTTTTGCTTCAAGGCACGCTCAGCCTCTGCTGCCACCGCGTAGTGGTGCTGCCCCAGGCGGGAGTGGGCACGCAGACGCTCTTTCAGAGCATCCTGCTTTTTCTGTGTAAATGCGAGGTATCGAAAATAACAGGTATTTACTTCAGAAGATTAGGAAGCCAAAGCATATAGGCACATCTGACATAAACTAATTTGCTAACAAAATCATAACTGTGCATGTACAGGTCTATCGTTCCAAACAAAACTGTCAGCCTTTTTACTTTGGTTATTGAAACCATACATTCTCCGTTTTATTGTTTCATGCTCATTTACATCTGTACTGCTTGGAAGTTCAAACTGTCGAAAGATGTTGCAGGCAGAACTTTTTATCCATAGTTTCTTGTTTTCCTGATCGTGCCTTTTCATGTTCCTTGTGGTTTATTTCATCAGTTCATCCTCTCTTCGTCTTAAGTTTGTATACCTTTCTTCTAGCTTCGGCAGCTTTCATCTTGTTCTCTAGCTCCTCAGCTTTCTGCGAGTCCGGCAAGGATGGCACGCGATCCAGACGAGCGAGACGAGCTGGGGGACGGCGCGGGGGCAGAGCTGCGCCTGTCCCGGTGGTCTGCTCGCTGCCCACGGAGAAAGAAATAGCGCCGGAGGCGGTGGTGTTGAAGCTGACAATGCCCAAGGTTTGCAGCTCCAAAAGAATCTTGGCCTGGGTTTGGTTCACTTCTGATGAAAAAAAATAGAGGAGAATAAAAAGTAGGAGTAAGATTTTTTTTTATAAACTTCGGCTAATTTTCTAATTAGGCCTACACAACTATTTTGTTTCACTGAAAAATGTAAAAATTCGAAATGTATTATAAATTAACCCTCCCCTTTTCCTTTTGAAAATGTTATTGGTAATGTATTTAAGATTAATATCAAACGATATGTATGTCTAGCCTATCTACCTCCCCAAGCCGTCTTAATAAGTCCCTGGTTCGGAGCTCCGTAGTCGGGTTTGTTTTCAGTGTACAGGACACTTTCCGGTTGCTCCAAACTCTCACGTTTGGCTGGTCCAACCTGTGTGAAAAAAATGTTTGATACTTGTACATGTAATATTAATCATTAATTGTCGGCAAGTACAATCCAAGGAATAACAGGATGTCGTGGTGATAGTGTTTTCCCCACCCGCCGTCTTATAGATGGCCCGGTTCGAATCCAGTCTGATACATCGTGTCGATTGGATTCGTCTTTTCCAAAACGATGTTGTCTTGTATCGGCCTAGATTTTACGCTAACTTATTGCACGTTTTTTTAAAATCTCCCACACCACGGTGAAATCACTTGCATTGCTTTCTCAACAAAGTCCAGTGGAATGACACAAAATGGGCTTACGTCCAAGATACATTGTTTTGCTCGTCGTTAATATTTTGTGAGAATTATATCATGTTTATGAAATCAAGAATCGAAAAGTTATACATAATACAGAAGCATTACGATGTAGGCCTATGGAAGCATTACGGAAAGACATCTACCGCTTGTATTTTTCCTTCCATGATTCGAGTAATCATACAATAATGCCAAGGTCAGTCCGAAAAATAACATGGCAATTACTATTTTGTTTCTTTTCAAACTTGATATTCACCTCTGCATAGGTCTGCAGTTTAACCTGCGCACAAAACACCACGGACAACTCAGAAAACTGACATTAAGTTTTGTTTTTAAGTTTCTTTCAAAGTTTCCCTTTCAAAGTTTCCCTTTCCGAAATTGGCACAAACAAAATCTGTTTTTATATCGAGGCCTATTCATGTTATGTTCAAAATTAATAAGAACTGTTTACTTTAACCTAAAATGCGAGACATTACAGCAACGGTCAATCTTGTCCTACAGTTAACACAACCTGTATAAACCATAAAAATCATTGGAGAATTTGGCTTTATTTCAATGAAGCATGCGTTCTAAATGTAGACTTTGTCAATTTTGATGGATGAACAGAACCACCCCTTCCTTCCTCCATAATTACCTTGGAGCAAATCTTCCTCTGCAAGAAGCAGGGCAAAGCGATAAACATAAACGACTGATTATTTTTTTGGTCGTCACTGATTCACCAGGTTTTTAATACTCATTCCTCTTGGGATACGGTGCCTGATGTCGTACCTTGTTGGCACCACCAAAGCGCCTCCACATGTTCTGCAGTCGTGAGGCGTTCTTTCGGCCCATCCCCGGGACCAAGTCTGCCGGTCCCACCCGGACCCTCGATTTGTTACATCCCATCTCGACGATCTGTCAATACGTAACGAATGCCAGCTAAAACTAACAACTTTCTAGGCTTTAGCTTTCAATTTGAAGAGTTTTTAAATTTGCAAATCTCACTCGGTGTGATGCGTGAACGGTATCTGAATATGGTCAGCTGATTCTAGTCAGTTTGTGTATGTTTTACATATTCCGCGTTGTCTTGAACACGTGCGCGTTTCGAAATTTCAAATACGCAACAATGGTGTCCATTATTCCTGCCATAAAAGAGGATCGGTAGCGCGTCCGTACAGTACGCACCCGTGGATACAGCACTAAAAATACTGTGGCCGCGCGTAATACTATGTGCCATGCATTCTCGTTCTGCCTTGCCCCTTTTGATAAATTTCATGCAAATCTACATGAACAATTGAAAATGAAAATATATATTTTTTAAACATTAATTACAATTCGCTAGGCATGTTTTAATAAGACTGTAAATAGAGAGGGCCCGTGCGTTTTGGGTGTGACATCCTAAAAAAAAACAATAGAAATGATTGTTAGCATTACAAAAATTAGGCCCCCTATAAATCTTCCATTGAGACACTGAACGAAAAAAAATGGCCCCTAGTAAGTTATCAATTAAAAAATAATAATAACTCGGACTTGGTCGATATCCACAACACACTCACTATCACAACACAGTCATAATTCTATCATCAACGTCGTACCCTCAATAGTCCGAAGATAGTCCGCTCGATCGACAGTCCGAAGCTTTATTGATCCGAAGGTTCGATAGTCCGAACTCACAAATTTCCCATACCACCCCGGCCGGGGTTCATTAGTCCGAAAATGAAGGTTCGTTGCGATGAAATCCAAAGATAATTCGTTAGTCCAAAGGTTCGATAATCCGAAGGTTCATTGTTTTTACGGAAGGTTCGACAGTCCGAATTTAGAATAAGGTTAATTAGACCAAAGGTTCTGAAGTCCGAAATGAAAACAAGGTAGATTCATTAATCCGAAAACACATTTTGATTCATTAGTCCGCATTGGCAATAATGTTCAATGCTGTCAATTCGGACTGTTGAATTATTGTCGATTCGGACTATCGAAAGTCATCGTCTATTCGGACTATCGAAAGTTATCGTCTTTTCGGACTACTGAACCTTGGGATTTACTATCCTTCGGACAAACTATTCTATTTTCGGACTAATGAACATTTCGGACCAAACCTTCCGACTGATGAACCGGAACCTTTGGACGAGCGGTAACCGTATTAGTATGCATTCAAAGATGTAGGGAGGTGCTGGTTATGCCGGACTAGAAGGAGATTCTGGTTTCGTTTCACATAGAAAACTGTTCCACGTTAAGGAAAAAAAACCCGAACGTTTCTGGGGATGTTGGGCGGCAAAGCTGATTTTGAACCAAGTGTTGCCTCAGAGATGCCGGTGCGGATTGTGTGATATGCCTTTGTGATGAGTCAGACAATGACTACTTTTCGGCCGCCTAAGTAAACTTTTCTTTTGTGGTCATAACTGAATTAAAAGCAGAAAAGTAGAAAACAGTTGTCAAAACGTTCCATCGGCTATTCTGCTTTCTGAAGGAGACAAGCAGCTAGATGGCCACTTTTCGGCCGCTTGATCAAACTCTGTTGTTTATCAGGTAGCTAGCAGGAAAACATAAAAAGGAAACGTCGAAAACGGGGGAGTACGTGCCGCCCCACTCCCGATGATCCGTGCCCCCGGATACCCCAATTTTAGATCTTGAATTGAGCAAAAATACTCACTTGCCTGTAGTGCCCCCCTTGAAAAACGGTACACCCCAGGTGCCCCGACCCCCAGAAGTTAAACCTTAGTTCCCCCACTGGACATACATGTAGTGCTACGGCTACGTCTAGTCTGTTGTCAGCCGCTCCCCGAGTATTTTCAATGGGCGCAGACAGGGGCCCTAGACCTAGCTCTAGACAGCTGATTCGGATGCAGCCTCATTTCGCGTGACAGTGCAAACCTAAAAAAGTTCAACGTTGAGGGCGCACTAAACGTTTCGATTATTTTGAGTGCCAAAAAGTAGCAGACGAAATTCGGGCCGGGCGTGCGATTTTAACGTGCGCAGTCGCAAGCGGATTTCATTTTGAGTTTTTGTAGGCCTAAATGAACAATTTCTTACTCCAAAAAAAAGGTGAGTATTGAATTCAATAACCGTGGGAAGGCAAGTATGAAGTTTCTCAAAAGAAGCTTCTGGGATAAAATGTACTTTTACTTGTCCGCTTCTTCATGTTCTTGGGAAGTTGAGTCCATTTTCAAAGTATTTTCTAAAATTATTAACAAAATTGGAAATGTTTCTCAAATGTTAGTCCCAGATTAACACCTTTTAATTTTTTTTGCAATAACCGACCTTCATTAAGGTAAAGAAAGCAGTGTCAGGACGAAACAATCTTTCCAAATTGGGATGTAATCCAATAATTGAACACTCACTAGTTTGGGGATCCATCAACCATGCATTTTCACATTTAAAAAAGGCATAGGCTATTGATTTTTGAGAGAAAATAACAAGTAATTGTAGTAGGCCTGCCCAGCTAGCCCTACCACTAGCACTTGACTTGAGTGAAGAGAAAAGGCACAGACAGATAGGCCTAGACGGTGAGTAGACCCCCTTTCCTTCCCACAGTGCTTTAAAGCTATTGTGCCAAATCACTCACACAAAATCCAATAGCAATAGTCCTATAGACCTATAAAACACAGCAACATAACTTAAATTCAGAAGTTCCAATAACTTCCATCTGGCAAATTTTAAATTTACATGTATAACCAAAAATCTAGCTATTTCCATATTCATCCCCAAATTTAACCCTAACCGCCCCAATGCTACAAAATACTACTGAGGAGTAACCTGTAGTATGAATTTCTTTCCATACAACTGTGCACAGCACATGTAGTATTCTGTGGTATTTGGTACTTGACCCCCAAGACCTAATAGCCAACTTATTTTTGTAAGAAAACGAGACTTATCGACCAGTCCCCCATTTTGACCACATTTCCCCATTAATCATCCAAATCAAATGTTCTTCATGTTGGCTTATGTATCAACAACTTATAGTCTTGAGACTGAGAGTCCAAAATAACTTCAGGATCTTGTAACCAAGGAGGCTTCCTAAAATTTGAGAAAGTAGAAACTTTGCACACCTTGTATTTTGCTTTAACAGAATTTCAAAATCAGTACACAACCGCCACTTTTAATTTTTAAAGTCTTTCATCTTGAAACATTTTATTGCATCAAATCAAGAAGACAAAAAAAGTTAACAAGAGTACATAAATACAGAGTAATTCTCATTACTTAAGAACATGATCCACCATTTATCTTGCCTACGTCATTTACAGTGGCTACCACCACTGCCTTTGAAATAAATAGTACAGTTACAAGGAATAAATACACAGGTTTTCTAGGGTGATTTTCAAACCCCACCGGTTACAATAAATAATAAGGTCAAAGGTTAATAAGCATGCAAGCTTTTGTCTTTTTGAACAACAATGGCTCATGTTTGTGGCATACCTGAACCGTATCAGTTTCATAGCACACTGAAACGAAAAAAAAATCCAATAAATACATTTTGAACCAATTTCGGAACAGAATTATGTTCGTACTTATTTTGATGGCAAGATTTGTGAATAACATAAGATTATAGTCTTAGTTATAAACCTTTAGTTACTCAAGCTACGTAGTACAATACTGTTGAGTCGATTAGCACACATCGCAGTGCAACAATATCTACTGAACGATTGTTCATTTTGGAAATTTATGAGTTCAGTTGAACTGAAGATAGTAACAGGAATATGAAAATGTCACTTTTGTTAAACCCTGACAGTAACCATAAGCCAATGCTAAGATAATCTGAACATTTTAAACACTACCAGTGGTTTATATATAGCACACATATATGATTCATAAAATAATATGGTATCACGGTTGTTGACGTTTTGAATATTTCACTCTCTAGTCTTCACGGTAAAGACAAAATGCAAATGCCATTGTGGACAACTACCCTTATGAAGTACATCTTGAAATTATACCCTGCTTTTGTACCAATTTTGATAGTTGTACAATAAACTGATGAATAAAATCTGACTTCATTCAGTTGTACAACAAACCCTGCAAGGAACATGCTTTCATTACGTACATTTTTGTGTCCATCTTACTTGGGATGATACTGTGTAGGTACTTCCAGAGGATTTAAGTAAAAGCTTAATAAATACATTTTTGGGAACAGACACTTCAAACAAAATAAAACAGAAAGACAGTGGTCCAGTTGACTAAGCAAATACACAATACAAATCAAATGGGGAATCCATTCCGAGCCAAGCTTAAGCATATAATTTACAGCTGCCAAAACAATTTTACTTAATATTTTCCTTTTAAAAACCACTGAGGGAGTTTTGTTCTTCAACTCTTCTGGAGAAAAATTGCATACACAGGTTGATTCAAAATAACCTCGGTGAAAAATATACAGTTTTAAAACATGCGGTTTTTGGAAGGTTATGATCAAATCGAACGATTTCAAAATACACATGTACATTTTTTTTACAATTTTTTTTTCCAAAGTGAAACTAGACATACAGTCCTTCCCGTTACTTAGTACTAATTCAAAGTTTGGAAGATCTTATTTTATGGAGTCATTTAAAACCAAGAATGTAGTATCATTGTGATCTTACTGAGTGGTGAGTTCTTACAATCGAAATAATTAATCTTTTCTAAATGTATGTACAAAGTTCTGTTAATCTTCGAACAGAGTAATGATAATCTAATGTGAAGCTATGCAAGCTGTGTGAACCATTAATTGCGCAAAGTTTTACATAATTTGTCCCAGACCAATACTTAACGTCATGGCTCACACTGCAGTCGACACCTTATGGTTTGTACACTCTGTTTAATGTACACAGTATCTAAAACTAGATCAACATTATGTTATGATACAATTTTCATATACAGATGACTCACTGTTAATGCAAGTTTGCGTTTACAAATACTGTTCGTTACTCTAGAACAATTATATATTGCAGCCATTTAAACTCAATGCCAAGCTGAAATTATGTTATAAATCTACTTGTTACACATGGCTGTAATTTGTTAAAATACTTTTAAGGTAAAGCACCGAATTGTCTTTACTAGCAGCGTACTATACCTTGCAACCCTGATAGACGAATTGCTGTAGAATTTCAGTTCAAAAATACTCTGCCTTTTTAACTTAAATAGTTTCACAATTTTAATAACTTATATAATATAAACTTGTCCTATGTGGACATAGTCCACTGAAAAAAAGTTAAGCAGAAGACCCAGAATTTTTTTTTTGTCACAACTAAACCCAACAATAAAACTACAGTAAACTCTGATAACAGCAAAGAAGTTTTTAAAATGTATTAAGCAAAACATTGTCTCACAACGATTAACAAAACAGCTACGAACCTGTTACATAATGGACAGTTCAGCTGAAATGTGCAGTTACATACCCTTCAAATCGACTTAACATTTGCAGACCAATAAAACCTTTTTGAAACTCTCATTCTCTGTGAGGCATTATAAGTCACTTGTACTTTCCACCCAACTACATGTGGTCTTTGTCCATAGTTCCCCCCCAAAGTGTCAAAGTCATTCCCTTGTCGAATCATATTAATTGTTCCAAGGTCACTGGGATGGAAGTAGAACAGGCAAATCAAACCAGACACATCCCCTGTTTCCTATCCCCGGGCCCCGGGCCCCAGTGGAAGTGCTAATGTGTGTGCAATTTCCCCCCTCTCCCCTTCCCCCATGATACTGGGAGAACAGTGCCCATAGAGACTCGTAGCTACCCGTGGCCAAAGGCTGTGGCAATTGACGACAGGAAATATGTGCTGGGATGAAAGGAGGGGGGGGGGGGGAGAGGACCCCCCTCTTGTAACATACATACATTGTACATACATCCGTCTAATTTCCTCTCATGCCAAGCTTCTATTACATTGTCTGCTATAAATATTTTCGAAATCTTATTCTAGACATGTAGCGTGCTTTGATGTATGACTTGGTATTCTTGGATGAAATTATTTCCCCATTTTTGTTACTTTCTGACAAAGTACTTAAAAACAAGTCGTAAAATGCGGAAAATGGTAATTCCTCTGTTTCCTGGCTACCCACACAATTTTCTTTTTTCCCTTGGCGGAAGACATGTCGATACAATTTCATCCTCGGTCAGTTTCAGTTAAGACAAGGTAAGCCCCAATAGTGCATGGACCGTACGGCTGCACTTTGAGGGAAGCAATACGTTAATCAAGTTGATACGGTGACGGGAAAGTTCCATATCCTTCCCAGTTTCCTTTAACAGACACTTGTAAAACGCGGATGAAGAAGTACCTGTCAGTGTGTGTTACTGTCTCCTAAACACGGCTCATCCCGTGTCTTACCCAAGTCTTATGGCAATTAAGGCAGTAGCAGAATGCAGTTCTTAAGACAGCTAGTATTTTGCGGATTAAGTTGTTACTTAGACGTAATTGCATGAGACTGAGTAGGTCAAGTGGAGAGGTTTTCTTCTTTTTGATTGGGAGCCAAACACATCGATGTTATAAATTCACTGCTTTCCATAAAGGCGTTTACACACCCTAATCCCCCAACATGTTGAAATGGTTAGTGTGAACGTCTTCACTTTTTGATCAGTTGAAACATACAGAGGGTTAACCCATCCAACAAGTGCTGAGGAATGTTTTGATTTTCTGAACAGTTATTCATGCACTTCCTCTTCACAGGACGAACAACTGTGCCACCTAACTGATGCAGCCTTGGCACCCATACGCGGTACCCCCCCCCCCCCCCTCCAAACTTCACACAAGGGGCAGCTTTCTGGAATTGGCATCTCGTGACAAAGCCTGATTGAAGGTTTCATCCGTGATCCCGTGCCAGGAAACCGAATGATTATCCCCATCCGTTGCAAGGAGGGATCAAATGTCAAGAACGGATTTGGGAATCGACAGTTCTACCAGTGAGTGTTATTTTTAGGAATTTGTTCTGCGCAGATTTGTGCATTGTGTATGCATTACATTTAAAAATAAAAATCTCTCCACTGTCTCACAAACAGTTAACTTTTGTTCTAATCCTGCATGTAGGTTGGAAAAAAAGTGTCTCAAACTGTGGACTTCCAGTCATTGAAGTACATGTAAGTACACAGACAACTTTGTTCTTTGTTTTTCAAGATCCAACTTTAAGATATTTTGTAACAAAAAAAAAGGGTTTTAAATGGACATTGGCAACTGTCTGTTTATGCATTTCATATATTTGATCAAGTTGTAAAAAAAGTGCTTTTTAAATCCTACACAACCCCCAAAGCAGCATAATTGTCTTTAATGTCTTCACACCATTTCACATAGCACACATATTTATTCATCTATGCCAAGGCGTAGCACACTTCTTATTAAAATATAAATTAGTCTAGTTCCACACCCATAATCAGGGCAAGAAAATGTGGCCGGCATTTGTTTTAGTTTGTATTTCATACACATCTTCCTCTGCACCGACATCAAAGGTTTACCCTAGGTAAACCTCCCTGATTGGGTTTTGCAGATGGAAATTGTGTCTGACTTTTGTTGTCTTTAAGTTTGTAAAGATAGCACAGGCAGTGAGAGAAATGGGAGAAGACACATTAGTTTTCTAATACACTACAAGAGTTTACCCAAAGTAGATTCAAGTTTTATAGGAAACTAGGTGTAGCGTGTGTTGCTACATGGGTACAATAAAAATGTACACCTCTGTAAATATTTTTTGAAAATAAACTCTCTTACTTGTAGCACACGATACAGTATGTATAAGAACCAAATTTTAAAAAACAAAACAGACCTAAAAAAGTAAAAGTTGCATTTTACACCATCACATGGTGAACATGCATTGTCACAAATAATCACTAGAAAACTGACATTGGAAGTCACTGGTCACTCTATTATGGTCCTGCTGTGTGTACCTACTGCGCATGTTGTCTGAGGTTCAGTGTTGGCATAGACCACTCAGTCAAGGGGCGAGGCAGGGATGACGTCCTCCTTGTACCTCATCCCGTTCTGCTTGTCACACCTGTCAATCTCCCCAGTCTCCATCATCATGTCTTCCTCCTCTTCCTCCGGGGTCCCTTTACCCATCCCCCGGCCCAGAGTGTCCTCCTTGCGGCAGTAGCTGTAGCGGTGGTTCATGTGCTGGCTGTAGGAGCCAGAGTGGGAGAACTTCTTAAGGCACTTGTCGCACTGGTAGGGCTTCTCCCCGCTATGCAGGCGGGTGTGCTCCATCAGGTGGTGTTTGTGCTTAAAGGCTTTGCCGCACTCCTTGCACTCATGAGGCCGTTTACCTGTAACCAACACAAGAGAAAAATGGATACATGCCACATGAGTGGATACTTCAATGGATATCTACACTATTTCAGTATAAATCAATCATTACCGGTTAGTCAAACACAAATGCGCTGTACTGTTAAATAGATGTGGAACTAAAGAAATGAATACACTTTACAATAAAAAGGTTGTTGCAACCTGAAAAATAAGCTTTAAGCAGAAAATAGGTCTCTGCTGTGACTGAGCAGACACCATTTTTTCATAAACAGAGCCACAAGGGATTTAGCATTTCGCTTTACCTGCTGGTCAATCATATTACATAAATATCCCGCTATAAAACTTAAATGCACATGTACTGCGCTAGCGAACAAGGCAATTATTTCCAAATGAAAGAACAAAATAAAATCTGTGTTAAGAGAACATTTAAGTTATTAATGTTTGCTGCTTTTGTAGACCAAGATACAGAGATTACAAAAGGGCCCCTCATTCAGAAAGACGAGGCCACAAGAAGTATTAAAATGTGTCTAGACTCGATACTGTATGACTTGGCCTAGGGCTGACCAACTTTGATAAGTGTAGCTATCAAAATAATCAAGACATGATCAGTGTCGCACACTCAACCATCTGACCAGAATTATTGAACATCTGTTCGAGATGGTAAGCGTGAAGAGTGATTCCAACTGCAAAGTATGATTAAGATGTAAGTCAACTTCCCCTTACAAACTTGCAGTGTTGGCTTGGGGGAAAAACAGCTGAAAAGTACAGGCTCAACAATCAGAAAAGTAAATATAAAACAGGTGTCGGTTATAATCACTAGGGGGTTTAAAAATGGTTGGAAGCATGTAACATCCTAACCATTACTACTTCTTTTGCATTCACGTGCAACAAGTTACAAAAAGCAACACAATTCTTAAGTTAGCATTCAAAAGTTATAATGAACATAAAAAGCTGCCGTCTAAAGAGCCATGCTAGCCAACCGTTTTGATTATGACTGACACTAGTCAGTTACATTGAAAAAAGGTTGACTAATAAAAGGAAGTTCCCATTTTTCTGAATTTCATTCATTTTTTCTTTCAGGTTACAATAGATGTTACTTCTCTTTAGGAAGTGTTTTGATGCTGATTTTTTCTTATGTTTTTTTTCAATAAAACAACAGATTTTAGTAAATTTGTAATTATGGCACACATGTAGTTTCTACCTTTGCAATTATTCCTCATCAAAAGAAAAAAGCTGGGAACTCCTTTTGGAAAACCATGCATAGTTCACATTTGTATGAGAGCAAAGCGAATTTCATACCATCAAAATCAACCCCACAGCAAATCCGCTTCGCTATCACACATCCATGAAGTATGAACACGGCTGTAGGCCCTGCTATTATCAATGCATTAAAATAAAATAAAAGAAAAGAACAAGCAGATTGATGACTGACTTTTTGGCTCACCTGAGTGCTCATACACGTGTCTGAGCAACGAGCTGTGCTTCTGGAACGTCTTGGGGCACTGGGTGCAAGAGTAGAGTCCTGCCGATGTCCGGAGGGGGCGGTCCCTTCGCCTGCGGTCCCGGTTTGGTGAAAGCTCCCCAAGAGAATCCTCCACTGCCATCGCAAGATCACTGATGCCTGTCAATTGAAAGACCAAAAATCAAAGGTATACTTCTAATTTCACCATCAACTCAAAATTCTTGCAGATCCTTCAATATTGATCAACGAGGAAGTTTTGATGGTTTAACAGGACTTGTTTTACAGGATGGTTTTACAGGATGGTTTTGCAGCCCATTCAACATTCATTGGGACTTTATGCTCCTTAAAAGCTTAGGTACAGAGCTTGTGTGTTAAGTTTCCTTCAGAGAGGAGATTTCAGAGGGTTAAGGGGGTCCTACTACATGTTTTATTTTAAGAAATATTTTTAATTTTCCTGTTGTATCTTGTGTATTTTTTAAACCTAATTTTATGATAAAAAGTCTCTTCAGTTTTTACCCAAGTTGTCTTAAAGAAGCATCACAGTTATTGAGAACCACAAAAAGGCACTTGCTTGAGGACCTCTTTTGTGCGGTGAACTGTTTTTAGGTAAAAGTGTTACAAGATAAATGTTTTTAATCAGGTGACCTTTCACCTACCATTATTGTGCATTCCATTACTGCCGACGATGTTATGTCGATAAGTAGGTGGCTGAGTAGTCTCCACCTGCAGTGGAGTGATTGGAGGATAGGTACCCTTCATCATTGCTGATGCGTACACCTCTGTCAGCGGACTTGTTGGGTAGGAGGCTCCATTGACAAACTCCATCCCTTCGGGATACTTCATCCTCTTAGGAGGGTATCGATTTGGCATCGGTACGTAGGCAAAGTAAGGCTCGGCGTAGGGTCTCTTCAACACCAAGTTGCCATTGGGACAGTGGGAGTGGGCTTTCAGAGTGTTCTCCAAGCACAGATTTGCCCGTGACCCATCCGGATTGTAAGACTGGAAGATGTAACTGCCTGCTGTGGTGTAGAGCGGGGGATAGTTGTAACCGTACACTAACTTGGGGGACATGGAAGACAATGGGAGGTTTCGACTGGTGTGCTTGGGTAAGGAGAGGTCTAGCGGAGCCTCATCTACAGTCTGTCTGGGTGAGGGCCTGGAAGACACAGTGGCTGGAGAATTACAGTTGGAATGCTCCTCCCGATCTCTCAGGCTGAGGTTCTTGAGGCCATTTTGCCTCCGGGACAACTCCAGTTGCTCTAGTCTGTCGTAGGGGTGCGATTCTACTGTGCTGGTACTCCTGGGTGATGAAGCAGCCCTTGGACTGTACCTCCTCTCTGGTGTTGCCACCCTGGAGCGACTATCATTTGAGGCTGTCTCACTGACTTCAGTGTAACCGTTGATTTGTTTCCCTGGTGACTGGGTACGCAGCAGGTTATTATTGATGCAATTTTTCTTCATGAGACCCAAGCTCTTCAGAGAAGGATCACATCCTTCCTCTTCAAGCTTACGTGTCCGTTTAAACCATGTCTCAACGAAGGAAGGCTTAAGATTCATTGCCAGAGAGATTTTCTCAAGTCCATCTTCAGAAGGTCGGGCATGCATGGCATAAAACGCCCGCAGTGCATGCTCCTGAGCCTCAGATATCTGGTTCAGGCCATTATGGTAGATTTCACTGGTCTTTGAGTTGTCGTTTTCTTGGGAACGGGAGAGAAGATTGCCATTGCACTCCTTGGGGCTGTGGACTGATGTGAGAGGGGAGGCTAGGCTTTCAGTCTCACTCATATTATTGCTGATAGTGTCATTCATTTCTGAGTCTGTGGAGGGTCTGCGCTCCCGTGCACGATCCATACTAGCAAGGACCTCACGCTGGTACTCATAATACTTGGTCAGGTTTGAGTTATTGTAACCTTTGACCTTCTGGACATCCTCATTTAATTCGCACAAGTACCTCTCGTGCTGGTGGAGTTCAATAGGACTTTCGAATTCCCGGCCGCAGTACTTGCAGCCTGTACCTTTGTTGTCCAGGTAAGGTATGCATCCATATCCCCGCTGAGATTCCAAACACTTGGCAATTGCCTGGGCCTCGTGGACTTTGCGAAGGGTGTAATCAACAATGCTGTAGATTTTGTTTGGTTTGGCCCCATTGACTGGGAGCAGGACAGGGTTACTTGAGGTCAGCCTTTCCTTAGAAATCTCGGGTAGTACCACTTTTTCGGGGGTAGGTAGCATCGGGGAACTTTGTGATGAAGATGTTGATGGAGTTGGGCTCAGGATTGGTTGAGGTTGCTGAGTGGGTGAAGGGGGGGCTGGAGGTGATGGGAGAGGCGCGGTTGGGGTTACAATGGGGGCAGCTTGAGTAGGAAGGGGTGCAGAAAGAGGTGCAGAAATGGGTGAATGGACTTGAGTAGGGGCTGAAGCAGGAGCATTTGATGCCTTGGACACCTTCGTCAGTTTAGAAATGTCAGTGTTCTGTCCCTGCAACTTTAATTTACTGACAGTTGCATCAACAATCTGCAGCACTTTCTTGACAGCGTCATTTGGTGGAGTTGTCTGTTGATCAGTGCTGGAATCATCCGACTTTTCAACGTCCTTCATGCTGTCTGAGCCAGGAATCTTGATGTGTAGCTGGGTCATGTAAGAAGGCATCTTGTCCGTTGGTGCAGGCTCAGGGTCCTCATCAACTGTTGTAATCTTGTTGGTCATGGGCTGCTGGGGGATGGGAGACAAACTCCCATTCATCACTTTGACAGGAGCCGGCATGTGAGAGACCATCACTGGGTTCTCCTTCAAGGGAGAACACTTCTTGCTGCTGATGTGAGAGCTGTAGGAACCCGAATGGGAAAAACGCTTCCTGCAGATGGGGCACTCGTATGGCTTCTCCCCACTGTGGATGCGCAGGTGCTCCTTCAGATGGTGCTTGTACTTGAAGGCCTTCCCGCACTCACCACACTTGAACTTGCGGTTGCCTGTGGAGTGGGTCAACATGTGGCGCTGGAGTCGGTAGATATTCACAAAGGCTTTGTTGCAAATGTCACAGACCTGGTTTCGGCCTGGCATGTGTGTGGCCATGTGCCGCTCGAGTTGCGACTTGTAGGCGAAGCAGTAGTTGCACTCGGGGCAGGAGAAGTTGCTGATTGTCTTCTCGTGGCGGTACTTGATGTGCTCCTTCAGGGATGTAATGCGTTTGTAGGAACGGTCACAGTAGGGGCAGTCTACTGGCTTGCCATCTTCACAATCAGTGCCACCTGTGAAAAAGATGGAAGTTAAAGAGAGTTTCAATAATACAGTATAAACAACTACAATAAGCAGCTCACTACATGTTTACCCTCAAGTTGCTGTTTGGACTGTGTTGTCATATCCAATTCCACTGTGCTGATGTTACCTAGGTCCCCCCCCCCATATTTTTGGTTTTTAAATGGCAACGCTTAAAATCCCAAACAAAGTAGAAGTGAAGAAAATGTCTAAAAAAGCTGCAAATCCCCCTCCCTAAAAAACTTCCTTTTAAAGAGAAGTCAAAAACAAAAGTTATGACCAAATTCTCCATAGAATGAAAAAAAAAAATTGAATTCGAGCATACCATTACTGTCATTGTCGATATCGTCTACTGGCTCAGGATAAATCACTGCTGTGTCACTGCGATTCAGATACTCCTCCAGATTCACCCTGCTATCCGGGTCCTTGCCCAACTTCCCCAGAGGACTACGTCTCTCCACCCTCTCTACCCGGATGTCCTGCTCGTCTTCGCTGAAGCTTTGGTCCCCGGTGTCGCTCTCTATGCCATCGCTGTTGCCGTGGTAATTGGAGTGGCTGAGGGGGGAGGGGCTTTCGTCAGTGTGGTCGCTCAGTTCATCTGGGCTGCAGGAGCTAGCCAAGTCCTCATCAACTTCGCCTAAAAGTAAAACAAAAAATATTATTTAAATGCAATGTTTTTTTTTCAATTGCAGATGCCTCATGGTGACCAGCTGGACTCATTTGTTTCAGGTGACAATTGTAATAAAATCAACCTATTCTTAACCAGTGTGTTTTGGTTGTTTCAGAAGTTCACTTGCAAGTTTCTTCTTCCCCTGAGTTTTGTTTTTATTTGTTTTTTACTTTGTTTTGGGAAGATTTGCTTTTTCTTTGAAGTGGGTATTTATTGTAATAGCATAGAGAAAATTTGACTTGAAAACATGTTTCATAAAATGCCTTATATTCAGCAACCTTTTGTTTTGCACCTGGGGTGAATTCAGGGAATAACCACAACCATCAAAGATCTTCCAAATCTCTCAAAGGATTTTGAAAGATGAAACTTATAAGCTGTATTCAGGAAAGTAAATCAAAGGAACTGTAACTGTTCAATCACAACTGTGTAAGGATTAAACAATTAGGGGGATTGGGCTTATGCGTTTTTTTAGTTCACTGACATTCAGTGAAAGTGAACTTGTTAATTATCAACGCAGATGAATGACAATATTTTTATTTTCCAAATTCTTTGAATTCTTAACTGCCTCCCCCCCAAAAAGAAATTCTTGCAATGTAGGCCTATACGCTATTCAGCAATAACTGGCCGCGAGTTTTCCAACATTGATACAACATATCAGGTCATCCTCGCATTGATTTCCCTCGCAATTCTCAAGTCATTAGTCTGCTGATGGTCCCGGGAATGGAACCGTTATTGCATTAGCCCGACTCCCCGCGGTATGTTGGCGGGGCAGCCGACTGGAAATTTGTAGGACAACGAAACATGCTTACACTTGCCAGCTTCCATAGATTCAACATTGCATGCACACAAGCCACTGATGGCCAATGCACTGGAGACGTTTATAGTTTTAAAGTGCAGGCCACTCGGATTGTGTGGACAGAGGAATCACTTAATTTAATAGGCGAGGGTCTTAATCTGAGCTTGATTGTTGGTTTGTTATGGTAATCATTGTAATTTGGAGGGTTCCTCAGTTCAAGACACTCTGTTGGCTGATTGCATTCTTTTAAACGTATTAACTATTAATTATGTAAACTAAGTAAGGTCACAGATCTGTGTCTGTGTGCATTTGTTAGATGGGTGGTATTTCGTCTAATGATTTTATGTTGTGCATGACGTGGAACACGTTAAATATAAAATTCCATTTTGTCATGTCAACAAATTTACATTTTGTAAAGGGTGAAAACATTCATCTTTCACAAATAGACAAAGCATTTGTTGAATATTAAATTCAAATACTTGTAAGGAAATTCCCAATTTAATTCAAGAGTGATCAACAAAGAAAAAAAAGCATGCTCGACACCACTTTAATTCAAGAAGCGAGCTGTTTGTTTCACATTCAAAATAACATATTCTGTTATTGACTCAGCCCCTGGCAGATGTGCACCTACAGACAAAAACCCTGGTACATCGACATGCACAAAGCGGATAGTTATATTACAGAAAACAATAAAGCCAGGGCTTGTGTATAGCCCAACACCTGTTCCCACTAGCCCAGCCTAGGCCCCACTCCCCCGCCCCCTAATCTACCAGAGAAAGGGTACACCTTGCAGAGTGGTGCCAGCGTGTCTGGGCCCGCCAGCTTGCTGGCTATTCAGAGTACTGGACTCAATGCCGCAGTGAATGATTAACATGATTAAAGCCTTGCCCAACACCTGATGGTAAAGAGACTGTAGTAGTGTGTATACACTGTGTGTGCTAAGGGTGCAGGTGATGAGGAGTTGGGGGGGGGGGGGTGTAAGGACTAGGAGAGGGGTATTAAAGAGCCATGATTAGGGTGATGATGATGATGGTTTTGGGGTAGTGGTGTGAAATGGTCCATCTACATGGTTTTCGCGCAACAAAGGGGTCCGGGACTTAACTCGGGACAATACATTGCCCTCATCTAGAAAAGGTCACACAGGATGAATACTATACATGTGTATGGATAATTTAATTCTTTTTATAATCAATGTATTGTACGGATAGAGTCACTCTCATCAGGGCATTCAATTATTTAATAAAGTAATATAAATTATTCAATTATGAAATACATGTAGGCACTGATTCTTTATTGGATGGGATTATCGGGATACAGCAAAGCTGTTTTGTTGTTGTTAAGAATGAAATAAAAACTGTTGTTCCATTTTTTCATAAAAAATGTGTTGATGGTTGAATCATAGTTTTTATGACGTGATGCATTTTACATACATGTACATGTAGCATAAAATTACACAGATAAAAAAGAGAATTGTTTATCATGCATATGCTCTTAAGGCTTGCTTTTACACTGCTATCTTCGACTCAATTTCTCTATTAGAAATTATTTTGTAGTTAAAAAAAAAAAAACCACCAGCACACCTACAGTACCGGTAACTGGTTTATCAGGCCTTCCATATCACCGAAGCCTTGTTTTCAAAGGACAGATGTTCATGCACCCAAGAGGAAATGATCCTGGCCCAAGGTGAAATCCATTGTCAGCAATTGAAAGGGAGACCGAGAGGGAGAGAGAGAGAGAAAGTATTGTGGGGAATACACCAGTAAGGTTGGCTGTTCCGATGGACCATTAGGGGACGCTTATCTCCCGGGCCAGACAGCCAGACAGGCTCACAATTGAAGACTGACTCTCAGAATTAGCCATTTGCCGTAAAAGCAGCAGAAACACACTCGACATTCAAATCGACATACCTGACAACATTTGGAACTAGCAACAAAAGAACATGTGCGTTTCTGCTTTTGCTACAGACATATAAATGATATGTAACCTTATTTTATTTGCAGATGGTTAATATAGATGTAGGTTAGTTGATTTGAGTGGAATTGGCTTTCCCGCCATACGCAACTTTAGGTCTTTTGTTGCTCAAAACATAGTGGCCAGCTAGGTGTAGACATTTTCTTGCAAGAAATTTAGTGGGTCGCTGTGGTCTAATAAGTAATGGTTATTGTGTTCCACATGTGGGTTTGAACCCTGACGGGAAACGTGGTGCTTGTGTTCTTGGGCAAGACACTTTACTATAATTGCCTCTCTTCACCCAGGAGTGTAAATGGGTACCTGTGAAGGTAGAGACCAAATTGCGCTGATCTCGAGCTGCTGCAGAAAAATGGTCTCATTCCTGATGAACAGGGATAATAATCGTAAAGCGCTTTGAGATGTTAGGTATAAAGCGTTATAAGCACCACATTATTAATGTTATTATTATTATAAAAGATTATAAACTTCTTGTAAAACTTCCATTCCACAAGACGCATTGTCTTATAATAGCCATGCAACACAGGCTAATACATGCGAGTTGAATTATGTTTGATTATCTGTCTGAATTTAACACTCAATGAGCTGTGCGAAATTCTCACAATTGTAAATTGCAAGAGCAATCTCGCTAAAAATAGCACATCTGATTAGAAACCGTTAAAAAAATGTAAGACTTAAAAGTAAACACATTACAAGTACATGTACACAGAGCATGTTGTCTGGCAAGACAATAAGGTAGCAACACAAACTTGAACTTACCAAAAAATTTAGCAAAATGACCAGGGAACACAAGCAGACTCCTACATGTTTCTCCTGGCATGTTTTCACGCATGCATCCACAAACCAAGCACTTCAGTGAATCACCTCTCTTCTTTCCATCCCTGAAGCCCCTTATTTCCACACCGAACATCCAAGCAATTCACCTGACAAGTGCCATCACTTAAACACAGACCCACGTTTCACCAATGAAATACCTCTCTTACTAGCAAGCCTCTCTCACCTATTCAGAAGCTCCGCTCAGGTGATAAAAACCTGCTCACACAGGTAACAAAAGCCCACACGGTGACTTCCTACAACGATTTCTACCTGTCACTTGTTCAGCTCTCCCCCCCCCCCCCCTCCATGTACACAATGTGGCTTTTAATCCTGCCAGGCATGCCAGGTGTTTTGTGATCATTGTCACCCTTCTCAAGGTAATGATTCCTGTCCTCAGTGCCCCCACTACACCAATGAGACAAAGAACCGGGCAAGCATTTAAGTCCAGGTCTCCATGCAAGAGAATCCTTTGTGTGGGTGAGAGTGTATCCCTCCTCATTCCGGACAATACCAGGGAGAAAGTTAGCTGAGGCCACAGAAAAATGGGAAATGCAGGTTGTGAAGAGAACAAAAGCACGCTAAAAGCCTCAAAAAAGTTTCAAATTACTGTACATGAGTGACTTTCAGAGAATTTAGTGGGGACTGCAGCTAATATCTCTTGAAATTTGACATCATATACACCAATTTTTTTGTCCTGCGTGCAAGGCTATTTAAGATAATAAAAACCTCCCCGACCAGTTTCCATTTGTCATATTCAAATCCTTTTTCTAAAAATGTGAATAAGCATGCCAACACACAAAAATTGCATCACAACATTGATACTAGTAAATATTACCCAATTACCGGTATGCAGCGGTCCATATACAAAAGATAAGCAGTTCCATTTAACCACACAATTTACATTTTACCTGCCACATATGCCAGTCCTTTTTTTTTAATTGAACAAAGGTTTTGCAAACTGTATTTTCCAGTCACACGCAACTAATTTCCACGGACTGAATAACTCTCACCCAATTCATTTAATGATCTAGAGATGGAATATTAACTCCAGATACATAATGAAAACTGTAAACAAATATGACTGGCCGACAACCAGATGTTTCCAAGTAATTGGTCTGAAACTTATCTCTCCCCATGCCGGATGTATTTCAAATAAACTCACTCGAAAAAAATTAGAAAAACCTGTACACTGTATTATAAGCATAATTACATTGCCCAATTATTCAGCAGTCCATATACTGTGTCTTTGTTGTAATCTCAAGCTGATATTAATCAGTTAAAAGGTGTACAGGACAGAAACACCTGTTCCCAGCCCAGGGATTAATAACAGTTTTGATATGGCTGTACACCTACAGCATAATCAATAGCATGGTATTGGGGACAAAGGACAACATATCCCGCACAAATAGTTTTCCCCCAATACGCCAATATTATGCAGTAATTCATGATAAGATACATGTAGATCTAAAAAAAAAATTTCTTACAATCTTCAGATGCAAAATAAGCTTTCTATTCTTGATTCTTTAATAAGTTACATGCAATTTGGTGGTGTTAATAAGTTTGAACTGCAATTCCTAAAAATTCATTGAGTTAGTTGTAAGTTGTTAATGTTCAGTATGAGACCATAAATTAATTAACCACCACTGCCTATCACTGAATCCTATTTAAAATGGAACATTTCGTTGGTCTTGAAAGTACCCCCAAGAAAAAGAAAAAAACACAATCCTGAAATTGGTGTATAAAAATGTGGCAGGTAGACCTATGCCTTTTTGGAAACACGTCCATTTCATACCTCGATTAGGAGGTGAGAACAAAAGACACAAGGGTACTACACATACAAACAGTTAAGCCACACATGAACTTCTTAAAAGGGGCCAACTTAATTTCACAATTCCAAAAATAGCCCAACTTGTCGGAAAAAAACCCTGTTTTGATGATTTTAAGTAAATAACACATAAACAGGTAAAAATATAAACTAAAATTGTGACAGCATGAGGGCAGAAGGAGTCATTGACATCAACAATTTTGTGCAGTAAATTTGATAACAACCTTTTCCACAGTGATTTAGTAAAAAAAAAACATAATAATATTTATCCTCTCAGAAATGTGATACAGTGCTAAACAGGCATCATTCTTACAATTCCCCCTTTTTTCTACATCTTTTTTCAGCTTCTGACGAAAGCAAATCGACCAATTTGAAAAATAAAATGTATTTTTGTAAACCCACCAAGGTAAGGGGGGAAAAACAGAAAGATTGACGAAATGAACAAAGAAACACAGACGTGGGCTAGTAATAATAAGTGGGGAGAAAGGTAGACCTTATGGGCTCACTCCAAAACTGTAGCAATCCGTTTACATTGTCAACATGCAGGACAAAAGGACTGCACTTCCATTCCACCCCGTGCGCCTGGCCTGACGTCATAAGCGTGGCAGGCGGGTGGGACAAAGGACTCCGATCAGAGAGGGGGAAAAAAGCAGAGCAGCCGGTGTGCCGTGAATAGTCACTGTATTCACACCTGGTATAAATATATGGACCTCTCTCCCATACTCCCAGTCCAAAATAAATTATGAATGTTGATTTAACTCCGTCTGACCATTTTTTTTGGTAGTTTGTTATTGCTGGGCGTCCCAAACAAGGTTCACAATGGCTGGATACGGCAGGAAAATAACTATTTATAGTCGTATTTTGATTAAATTGGATGTAAATTTATATTTAGTTTTTGCAAATAGATCATTTCCATTATTATAAGTCAGTTACTGAAATGAATTGTTGGCAAAACAGCAGCTCAGAAAAACATCAGAACTGAATGATTTATCAGCTCAAGTTTGATAATCAACAACTTGCTTTAGTAATAATTAAACTGACTTATTATTTATGGGCGAATTTAAAGATTTAAATTTACAGCATTTTAATTGAAAAAGTCTGCATACTTTAAATAAGATGCATATCTGATTTGCCAAGTACTTACTTAAAATTAGTTCAAGTATCCACCTTCTACAAAACAAAGTCCAAAACACACGCACAAGACAATATGCAAATTTCTGCTAACACACGCATAAGCAAATATGCAAATTTCTGTTCATCACCTTACAGCCTGAGCAGACATGCACACCAGAGAAAAACAAAGTCCCACACGTTCAGCATTAAAGACCAAATCCATCCAAAAGGAAAAAGCAATCCACTTCAGTCCCCAGCTCCACAAGTCCCCAAACAGGAAGGCTTCAATATTGGAAGCGCTCTCAATGAGCATTTCAGCGCAATCTCAAGATCCATATTAAAAAAAAAAAGGAAAAAGAAAGAAAGACATATTTCTGCAGCTCGGGTCTCGGGCCAGCACTCGTCACAACTCCCCCATGAGATGAAGCAGCCAGAGAGGCTCCACGCTGGCTGGGGACAAAGCTGGGGGACGGGTACTACCCTTTGCCAATCCTTAACTTGCTAGCTCGGTCTCCCGTTTCATCGTGTATCAAGGCTACACAACAGACAAGATTGGGGTCAAGAACTCGGAGATCCTGGAGTGCTTTTGTCACAGAATGAGAACAAACACGACTCCTCATCAGTACCTTCTCCAATGTCACCAAACTTTTTTTTTTATAAATTATTTACTTAGTCTACTTTCCTGATTTGATCGTGTCGCTTTAAAGACCATTAGAAATTCATAATGGCTTTTTGACATCCTTCTTCTTGTGTCACAACTCAGAGCTATAAAAACTATGTAGTATGATCATGGAGGAATAAGGTATGATAATGCATACACAACGAGTAGAGTGACACAGAGCAAGATATCAAGAGAAAAATGATATGATAACCCACATACTTTATGTTAATTTGGGACAGGAATGGCATGCGATGAGTTCACAAGCTAACTGCAGAAAGGTGATAAGTTAGCTTTTTTGCCCATAAATGGTCAAACAAGGGAGCCAGCAGAAGCAAAAATTTGCTTTTAATTTCTCATTGAAATTCTGAGGGCAGTCGTCAAGCTCAAGTGCTCACAATGTATTCACTTATACCAACCACACATAACAGCAAAAGATGGATGGATGTACAACTCTGATTTCACATCACTTTAAGACAATATCCTCCCTGAACAATAAACCTGAAAAAAAATATTCATACACAAATCAGCCATTCCAGAAATGTTGCTGTCAAATTTAAATTGCCACCACGAATTGATTTCTGGCACTTCCTTTCCTCCCCCAATGCAGGTCAGAAATCCAGAAAGATCACAGCCAACCAACGAGGAGAGCTCTTTTTTCCCCTTTCTGTCTTTCTTTGACTGGAGACACTGGTCGCTGTCTGTCTTGAACGAGTGGCGTCAGGAATCCTCCTCCTGGCAATCACAGACAGCGGAGGGGCTAGGTGATGCTGGTGAGTGGTAGGCCAGTCCTCTGTCAAGCCATCTCTCATCACAAGATAATTGTTTCAGTTATTACTGGCACTCAGGGGTATACATCAACCCTCCAGTATCTCCAAGCAACAGCAGGAATCACCTGGCTTGCCAAGTTTTTTTTCTCTCCCTCTTGGGTTGATATTTATAGAGTCAGGACTATTTCAGGAACCGAAAATTGAATTTCCCTCAATCCTGCTACTAATTGATGTGGGTTTGTCCTTAACTAATTGTTTTGGGGTTTATACCATCATATAATTACATGCTGCTCAAAATACATTTCATATTGTAACAGAAATATTCGCCTAGTTGAATTTAAGACTGATGATAAGGCTGTGAAACAACTGTGTAAAAAAACGTGGTGAATTCAAAAGGGGTGCTCCCCTTTTAATGCTTCTAGCCCCAAGAGGATGCCCCGTTTTGAAGAGATCCTTTAGGTACAAGAGAACATCAAGGAAAGGGTCGGTTGTAAACACTAAAGCCTTAGGAACCCTTCATCCTTAAAGCCTGATCTTAAATGTTTACAACATGGAAATCTGTAAAACATGTCAATCAGATATCTATTCTATTAAAATTTCAGAAAACCAGCCCACAATAACTAAATTGCATTATTTTCCAATTCTATATCCTCTAGGGAACTTTGCTATTGCCCCCCCTCCAAGTTAACAGGGATGAGATATCAATTGAAAAAAAGTCTGAACATTTAATGAAAGGTCTGAAAGATACATTTTCTCTTGTTAATGCATATGTCTTTCTCTCGGATTAAAAAAAAAAATGTGATTTCAGTCAAAAGTCTGAAAAATCTCATGCCTGAATAGAATAGAATTTTGCAAAGAGAGAAAAATAAATACAGCAATCATATGATACAACATGCAATTAACATGGTACAGAGTGAGTCACTGCTAACGATTTCAAGAGTTTTTTTTTACGGAATCCAGTTGATTTTTGCCATCTGTATGTACATGATTGGCAGTGAGGAAATTCAGTCACACTTGGGGAGAGCCTGTCACAATTGGACGCAGAATGAGTGTAATGGAACATTTCCTGCAGCAAAGTTTAAAGCCCTTGAAGTTTTCTTGACAATGTCATTAGGGACATCCCTGTATCAGCCCACACACGTATCAGGGATCTAACTATGAATTAAAAACTTAACACATTCTGATTATACAGTCCTCTGAAGTCCGATATATAATTAAGTTCCTGATTTTTGCCATTCTGTTCATCATCCCCTTTTACTTCAACTTTGTACTGTTAGTTCCATTTACAGGATTTTTTTGTCATCAGGAATTCTTTGTCAATGTCCTTAGCTACAAATGTACAATGCTGCATAACGTACATGTATCAGACATGCAACTGGGAATTTAGGAAAAACGAGGAAACTCCAAACCACACATGACTTTGTACAGTGTTTTCAATTTGTAATGGCATTCATGAGAAGTAAAAAACAAGGAAATCAGCAGATCCGAGGAAAAGATGCATGCCTGATGTATGTATACTAGTAGGACCCTTAAATAGATTAGGTCTATGTATGTAAGTAGTTGAAATGAGTTTTTGTAAATTCTCTGTTAAATCTTCACACGTCAGAATAGTATAAACAAGATAACTGTGGTTTAGTTTTTACTTTCTAGTCCTGCTAGCCATTCACCATTTCATTCACCTTTAAGTCAGGAAATTAAGTAGACAGCAATGACATCATCATGGTTAACTCAATCCGCCAAGTTAATTAAAACTCGTAAGGGATGTACCAAAATGGCAATAGGAACCAGGGCAGTAATCAAGCAGACAGGTGTTGAGCTGTGAGGAAGCTGTCAGGCTTCCCCTCGTTTACCTTTCTTTCGGGGTGTGCCAATTTAGCAAAAGGAACCACACTGGATGTACCCACCTAAGCAGCACCTTAGGCTCAGGCACGTGGGCCTGTTAAAAATTCCACAGTTGCTCTATCATCGACTTCCTTAGCAAGTTCACCAGTTAATCTTAAAAAAGAACTTGATAATGCAACATGGAAGTATTAAGTCTGACAAATCCTCTTAAAACTTTCCAAATGGTGACCAAGACGGAATCACAAGTACATGTATGTATTAAATTGAACTTAAACTGCTGAGCAAATTTACTCTTGGAAAAACTCCAGACACAGTGTCTGGTACTTTTCTTCCCACTTATGTATCGTTCCATGGCACCAATCCATCGGTGATCTATAAACTAGATTCCCCCGCTATACCCTGGCCCCAATATGCAGCCAGTGATGATCCCCTCCTCCTTGTAGAAAAGTACAAGTATCCCCTGTCTTATTTGCACTGTTCAATCACATCTCATTTCATAATTCCCAAATAATATCGGGCCCTCGTGTCTAAGTCTCTTGCAATCTGGCACCAGCCAATCGCGAACAAGATGGTTGATTTCAAAATAAAATCTTAATATTGAGAACTCTTTTTCCCCCTTCTCTCTCTCTGCCCAGATCCTGCCTCGTCTAGAGTACCATTATACGGCACATATATACACCTGAGCCAGTTAGCCTGGGCAACAAGCCGAGGCTCGAGACAAACGGTTGGCAACTATGGAGAGGCCTGGAGCCTGCCACGTCTTGCCAACCCTCCTGCCTGCTCGCTGGTAGACGCGTTCTGTTTGTTCGGCTCTTGAAAAGTCGTTACTGGTTAGACATTACGGACCCAGGATTAGGTGAGATGCACTGTTGATGACCCTTGAACATGATACAATGTCCACCAGTCTCTCACTTTCTCCTCTCTTTCTCTCTCTCTTTTAATTTTTTTTTTTACTTTCTTCCTTTTAATATTGCTCCCTCAAGATTATGGCTTTCTGATCAATAGCCCCTTGCGCAATTGTAGACTTTGCATCTTTGTACTATCACTGTTATGACATGATTTGGCAACACGTTGGTTAAATGACTGATGGACATATCTATCACTATTAGGAAACGGCTGCCATGATTGAGTGGGAATCATGCTCACTGGTTTTTCGGGAATGATTCCGAGAGCCATGAGAAACAGCAAATGTTAACACAACATCAAACTTCCTTCTCACATTAAGAAAGAAAACACAGTCTAGGGTAAGGGTTAAGACGCTCGCCATTGTCTGACGTACTTTTCCCCCCAGTACGCAGTATACCTATCATCAGAGCCGGTATATTGTTAAGTAACCATTCCCTGCCCAACCAGCCGTTTTGTCTCCAGCTATTTAACCCCTTACAAGTACCTGTGCCTGATTATCATCCAACCAACTGCAAACATTTCCCCTTGCGTCATCTCAAGAAGGCCCACCTCAAACTTGCCCTACTTTTGGGGGCCAGAACTTGACTTATTACTCACTGCCTTTACCCTGCCTGTCAAAAAAAGTGGTCAAACTTTGTGCAAAGCTCTCTTACTTTCGTCCATGACAAACTAACACCCATAAGAGGCACCTGAAGACAATAAATGCTCACAGAAACCAGTATTATTAGCAACCCAATCCCCCCTAAACTTACAATACTATTGCATTGATCAACAAATTGATCAAAACATTGTCTCATAGTTTAAACAAACCTGATACAATTGAATGATTGACAACTAAACGGATTGATTGATTTACATGTACATGTATTTGTTTATATGTTTATATATTGATGAGTAACAACTGACTGGCTATAAAACTTGCTGACTGAATGATTGATTCCATTAAATACACCCTAGGTAACCGTGAACAATTTTAGGAATTGCCTAATCAAACCTACAAGTATAAAAGCCAGCATGTGAAGAAGAGTAGTCTGGTTTGAAAAATGTAGTCAGTTACTGTTGAGTTTCTCTCTTCTATAACACAGTTCGAAAACTACTCAACAACATATGTAGGTCAACTTGAACAACAAATCAAACTAGCATAAGTGTGAACACTCCTATTGTGTTATTTTGCGGTTGTCCCTGACATTCTAGTCTCGCTAATCTATCAGGAAACCAGTCATCTTTTGCCAAGATATCTTCGTTCAGTTCCACAGTTGTTGAGCCTATTGTTTTCCTTACCCATGCACCACACCGCAATGGTGGAAAGTAATTAGCTTATTGATCATACAAAACCTGATAAATGATGGTCATAAACTCCTAATTGATTGCTCAAGCTGGACTTTTAATGGACAGACTTCGACGGGTAGTCTAGGTAAAACATTGGAATATTAACCAAAATGGTTTAACGCTACACTAGATATAGCCTGTGCATATTTCATTAAAACCACTCATCCGTCGTTATGCAATGGAGATGCTGTTATAATGGAAAGCAGGTGTGATTGTTGTGGTCATCCAAATTTCTGATGAGGGTCAGGCACAAAGAAGTTTGCTTGATTAGTCACCATCAAAGGTGTGGGGTTTGGCATTGTAACAGGAAATGGACATTTCCTGTGTTAATCCCTGTCCAAGTTGCAAAAGATTTGAGTTAGCAATTATTTTACTGCAAATGTGTCCACACAACCAATGATCAATATCATTTATCCCCAATTTCTTATTTTACAATTGGTATTTCAAATTCTTGTCTCACCTGTGGCTTCAGCCATGCATAATTTTTTAAGAAATCAAAACATTTCCCCTGAAAACATCTCGGCCCTAACTTAAGACAAGTTTAAGGTTGTTATGATTTAATCAGTTAATTACTGGTCTGCTGTGAGCGGCTCCGGGGAAATCTTCCTCTAGTCATAGTTCAACTGGCCTCTCGGGACTCAGCTCCCCACACTGCAAGCATCGATTCAAGAGACGGAGTCCCGGGTATAAGACGAACCCAAGGAGACTTTGAAACAAATCCATCGCGGGATACCTGCCTTGAATCTTAAACACCCGTCACCCATTAACCACAGCGTCCAGCCGGGCGTAATGATGCAGAGCGCGTTAGCAGAGAAGTGCAAACTACTTTCTGCCTTTAGATTTATCAGCCTTAATTACTCATTAATAACTTCTTTTATTCTAATCTAGCCTACCGTCAGACTGTCTCCTCGATTAGCGAGGAAGATGAGGCGAGGAAGAATTTGCCGGGACAGAAGGCGCTGGAGAGGGATCGTTACTGTCGCCATTCCCCCCGGCTCCAAGAGTACAGGTACGGGGTCAACGCTTGTGTATCTTATTGGCGAGATTTGGCCGACAGTTTGGCACAGTTGTTGTGTTAACTAAACTCTGTCGCAGGTAAATAATGCATCGCAACATATCGCAATGGTCCCAGATGAGATGGGAAATCGGTTTGCGAACGCAGTCTTGCCTGACCTACTTATCAGCTCATGCAGTTGGGGTAATATAATTTAGCACAATCACATTTGGGAATTTAAGAAAAAATTCTTAAATACAGCTGTAAATTTTTTCCCATTATAGAAGTGCCTTCTGGTTTAATTAAGCTTTGTTGACTGACTCACGCGCAATCCAGATTCGATTCTATCCATTTTGTTTGCTCTTCCTCCACTTTTATTAGTGATTCAGTACTATGATTACTCATTTATGATATTTTTGTTAAACAAGGGAACATTTTATTCCCAGAATGGAATGAATGATTACTGTTACCGAAAGTTTGGTTATAGTTGATTGAAACATGCAATGTTAAAATAAAAACTCTGAATTACAGAAAATAAGTGGTTTCCATACCTGTACTTTGGCACCTCAGATCTGAAGAAGATGAACAATTGTAGAAGTTGATGAAGATCACGGCAGAGCAATGCAACAAAAAGTAAGAAAAACAAAAAATTATTCAAGAGGTAAACAAGAAAATTGTGAGAAGTTTGTGAGAACACAGCAAGTTGTGAACATGACATAATGTTTTGAATTGTTCAAAAGATGTCCTATTCTTCGTCGAAAGTAGAAGTGAATGAGTTGGCATTGGTGTCATTGCTATGTCAAAACAGTTACAGTATTCAAATTGGAGTTTGCAGAAGTTCTTTCATTTTCTGTAGCAAACGTCTAGACCAATATTATGTTTGCAAATACCTAGGAAGGAAAAATGAACAATGTAAAATTTCTAATATGATTCTTATCTAGCACAACCATCAAATACATGTACAGTGAAGGTTGGTGTCAGGTACGAGGGTGGTGTCACGTGCGCGTACATGCGGCCGTATTTAACAATGCAATTCTTCCTGATCACGATTGCAAATCTCCGAACATGGAAAGGCGTCATTCATTCTCCATGACCACATGCAGATCATGTGACAAGCAGCATTGCGAAATATCAGGGGATGTTGCCAACAAAGAATTAAATCGTGTATAAAAAACACCTTACTAAAATTTTAACGGTAAAACTGAATCCATTGAAAATTATGAAAATGCATTTTCGATTGGAAGCGAATTTGTTTTTAAAGGTAAATTGGTGTGGCCATTATGATTTTGAGGAACTACTAAAGCGCTGTTTCGCACTTTGGATCAGAAAGATTTATTTTTGTTGACATTCAAATTTCTCATAGGTGCATATGAGAACTTCAAACATACATGAAAATGCTTAGTTACTGTCCAACTATCGCAGCTCCTATTTTTTGGAACTACTTAAGTGCAAAGTCACCAATGATTCCGTTACAATTAATAGCCACGTGTCTCATGGTTAACCACCATCACTATCTTATTAAAAAAAACATACCAAATTAGTTATGGATGAACACATGTCCCAAAAATATTTTGCAATTTCCAAAACCGATTGAACTCCCACAAACATCCATCAACAAACATCTGTATACATGTATACCTCCAAACTGCAACCAATACACTTGGAAATTCCCCTCCCGCCCTGCAAGATCAAATAGTTGAACACTATCTAGAGAGATGAGGCATTTTGTGGAAATGCTTCATATAATAATAGTCGCACCTCAGTAATTCCCCATAGTTGTTAATGAGTTCAATGCCTCTGATTTGTTTTCGCTTCTCAAGACGGCGCATGCATATTCCCGCGCTGGCGGTTTTCTTTGACTACCCAAATTCAGCAATCATCGAGAAAAGTTCCCGGGATGCCAAACTGCTGGATTATTATTACCACTCGGTCTTTTACCCGATGAACGGATCCATATACATGTGGAAGCCATAATTATTACTCATACATGCGGTTATATTCGAGATGGTGTCATACTTGTTTCCCCTGTTTGGCCTGATCGAACTACCTGATGGCCTAACTACCGAAGGGCAGGTTATCCTAGGGCACAGGCTGTACATAGGGAGTTGTACCTAAAGGGAAGAATGTGGCTCGTGGACGCGGCGGGGTCCACGGTTTACAAACACACACACACTCACGAGGGGAAATTACATTCCACGTCATGGCTGAGAATAGCCGCCCATTTCGCTCTGTAGTGAGTGAGTATAGCGCGAAATCACACCCTTGATTCGGGTCGAATTGTTTCGGGAGGTGACACCCGGACATGATTTCTCCAAACTCTCTAAAATGGTTGCACAATCAGACTAGGACTTGCAACTTTCTATTTTCACTTTCCATGGGACCCCACCTTGACAACACTCCTGTTGTTTTTCTGTCCCATGCCCGACTCGTGTGACACTAGGTATTTATATGGAACTGTAATAACCGCAATGTGACCGCACGGCGATTTTTTTCTTCAACAAATACATTGTAGTACATGTAGATTTTTTTTCAGCGTGTAATAAGTAGAACTCGAAGTTCGTACCTGTCGATGCCGGAGGTTGTTGCGAAATGTTTTATTTCAGCGAAAGGGACTTTCTTTTTGCAGAATGCAGTGAGGAATGGGTCGTTTTTCGATGTCAGTTGAGTTGGGTAAAATCGGAGAGATTCTGCAATCCAGCTACGTTGCAAACTTGAAATATCACGTAGGCCTAATCTCCACTAAAAAGGCCAGACAAAAATGCCTACAGTTTCTTGTCAAATTACTCCCCCCCCCCCCCCTTGTTGGGTAATAACCGATTTCTCAATTCATGAAAGTGATGTAGTATATTGAATCAATGACAACATAAAATAAATTCTCAATTTACGGTTAAATAAAGAAATTGACTGGAACGGGGTTGGAACCTGCGACCGTTGTGGAATACCGTACCGGCGCTCTACCATTTTGAGCCAGTTTGAGCATAGTTTGAGCTACATGTATTTAGTTCTAGCGTCTACCAAATTGTTAATAAAAAAGTTTTAGTTTTTAGTTTCTGTGTGGTGTAGGATGTTACTCTCCACCGGAGTTATAACTTAAACTTTATTTTTGTTAGTTGTGAAAATGACAACATAACAGGTGATACACAAAACCTTTGAGCCAACATCACGTGAAAGAGAAACTCACCCGACATATTGTAGTGGGAACAATTACGCGTTGAATACACAATAATTACCGACCACGGCGCGTGACCCAACTTGACCGCTAATATACAGCTAAACAAAGCCGGCAGGACCACGCGTCTTCCGCAGGCGTGTCAACCAACGAGTACTGTTTGGTTTTGAACCGGCAGTGGTACCCAAATCAGGTACACTGTGGTAAACGATTGAAAGAGAGAAAAAATATAACAAGTTCAAAGTGTTCTTGATATTGGTTTCCGGTTTCGCAGACAGCAGCATGCTTATCGCTAACGCACATGTACTTGCGGCCCTCACTGTGGCTGTATCTACTATCTACACAACACCTTGACTGTGCTCACCTTCAATAAACAAAAGCTGTGAAGATCGTCTGTAGCCTAACGGCCTTGTTTACCAAACATCAACTTCCTGGAGCCGTAGATAATTACCACACTTGTCTAGTCTGTTATTTTTCCGTTGAATTATGCGTCCATCAACTTCAGTTCCATAAACCGAACTAATTTCTCTCAACTTAATCCATTTACTGAATGACTTGTTGGTGACAGCAATCCCGGATGCAGTTGGTGGAAACTGGCGATAATATTGCAACAAAACGGGACTTTTTTGGGTAAAAAATGCAGTGACGTCAAGTCTGGGACGTAGGGATTTTCCCGTTATCCAGTGTTTAATTCAAATAATGATTTCACTAGAGGCGTATCCCGTAGTAGGATGCATTATCGACTTTCTCCGAACACTTTCAATAGCAGGAAATCGGGCAGAGCAAAAACGTGTCGAAATTCCCGCATCACAAATATATATTTGTGGCAAATCACAGTATTTTTTGGTCATTTTATGCACTCTTAATTTGTCAAACTGTACAGCAGATTCTATCACAGTGGTTAAAGAGGAAGAGTGAAATTTCTGACAAGAAACAAATCTGTCTTGGTTGAGAGACCAGACGCTAAAATCAGGAACAAGGAAACATTAATGTTGCCAGAGCGGAAACAAAAGTAGACAAGGTTGAGTTTCTGATAATGCAAACTGGTTTCCATAGTCATTACGAGCCATGACATTGATACCTTTATCGTAGCGTCCCACCACAAGACTTTAATATTTCTTCGGAACTTGAAGCACCTTCGAAAGTTGGTTACAGATCCTGATCGTCTTGTTTGTCGTGTCTTTGCAAAGGCCATCACCTGGTCTGGCCATTAGCGGCCCGCATTGATCTTCGATACCAGAGCACTTCACCGGGAGCCGTAGTGAGTGATGAACCAACCGTTTTAGGTAACACAAGAAATATCAGTCGCGAAGAATACACGCACACGTGTACACAACAAACCGAGATCCACTTTCTAACATTCCCTCCCGAATTAACTACCTAAAGAGGTGTATGATTCCTTGCCAAGATAAATAAACACTATTTTGGGGGTTTCTAAAAACTCTGGTGTTGTAAGAATCTGTTTGGACCATGCTGGTCTATGCGATCACGATGCGATCAACCTATTTGTTCAGATGGTTGACCGATGAGTGTTACGCGTGATTGGAAGCGATCAATTAGGTATGCGAACATGACAGTGAGTCGCTTGAAACACGGATCCGTGCTTGAAACGCATGAGACGGCAGCAGTTCTCGCTAAAAGTGCATAAACATAAACAAGTGCATGTTGTGTACATGATGCATGCTGGACATAAACATCCAATTTGCCAGGTACATGGAAGATAGATAGTCATAGACACAAGCAAAATTCACCGCCCATCAAGAAATTTGCACGCACACAATTACAGTTGTGATTTAACTGCTCAATAAAGGGAGAGTGTTGAATCAATAAAGAAAATTGACATTTAAATTCGCGGCAAAACCATCCAACATTTGCTGTTTTTCACGATCAAAATAAAGCTTTAACATATACTCATAAATTAGTTGCTAGAAAAATTCACAAGTACCCTAGAACTGAACACATTATGCCTTCTTGACAAAACAACCCCAAAATAGAAACCTCATCAGTACCGCGTCCAAGACAGAATTGGGATGGGGCGTGGTGATAAAAAAGTCCGCATTTTCGCTCCTCGTGTAAAGAGTAATAATGGCCCCGCAATATATACCATATTTGAGCATAAAAATCTTATCTTTCTCCACCGGAGCTGGGACGGCATGCATACCTCGGCTGCGATGCTATTATATCTCCATTCATACTCGCAGGTGTTGCCTAACCGTGTGTGGGGCCAGGGTGCACGTTACAGCGAAGTCAAGATAAGGGGGACATTTCGGGTATTCAGGCCAGAGGGGCCTTATCGCCAGGTTCACGTGGTATTTTCCATTCCACATCATCAATATTTCATTTTTATGTGGGATCGAGTCGAGGTTTCTGTAGTACAGAGGTGTGTAAGTCCTCCCACACTTGCCTGATTTCAGGTTTTTTTCAAATAATATATTGACACCATACATTGTGTGTAAAGTTTCTTTTATACCTCAAATTTCAGGGGGAAAATGTCAGACATCCGTGTGTATAATGGCAGACACGATATTCTTCAGACTTCTGTCTGAAAGCAAACTTTTTGAATCTGAGAGAAAGACATTATCAGTGTAGAACGAAATACATCTTCCAATCTCATCTAGTTTCAAATCGACAACTCCATCCAGAGTATAGGTCTAGTGGTAAAGGAAAGGGAAAATGCATTGAACCTTAACGTGTTTACTACATGTATATGAATAAACTATCACAAGCTCAGAAAAGAATACGT